ACTTCACGCCACGCCCGCGCCCCCCCATCTCCGCAATTCGGATGCAGCTTATCCCGCGAGGTTCGCCACGAGAAGACGCGATAACCCCGCTGGGAGGAGGATATAATTGAACGAAAATAATGACGAATTTCGCAAACATCTCTCTGCGTTCGCGTCGCGCGTCGGAGACGGGAACGGCTTCCTCGGAAAATTTGTTAACCTGATGAAAACATGCACTGTCGGAGTCGATCGCAGTCGGTTGCCCTCCGGAATTGCTGAGTAGACCACGCGATCCCCGAGCCAGTGGGGCAGGCAGGCAAGTATGACTCTACTGGCTGTGCCAGGGAGCACATGTCTGTCCTTCCCTCGTCGGCCGGGCCGATGGGGCCATTGCAAACACATAGCCACAAAGCGAATGAGCATCAGCACGAGAAGGGAGAGATACATGAAGAACATCTTGGCACTGGCCCATGGCACGCCAGTACCCAGCCATCGTCACGGATGGTTTGGCGTGTTCTTCGCGCACCAACAATCTTTGCCTCGCGAGCAAGCTACGGTTTCGGTGAACGTCTTACATGGTTGATATTTACCCCTTCCTCTGCCCTTGCCCCCGTTCCTTCCGCGGCTGTTGCTCGAGCCCCTACTTCTCGGGGCCTCGCCATGCGCGGCATCGCCAGCGCTCGCAGCTGCAGAATCAGCTTGCCGAGAATTTCTCTAGCATCCCGAAGACTTGCCAGTCTTGAGCTGCGCTTCTTCGCATTTATCACGTTTGATTTTTCCCGGAATCGGTCAAGCCTCTGGGTTGCTTATAGCACCAACTCTGAGGGCCCCTGCAATTGCGAGGGTCTCGCGACCATGCATAGCGCACCATTTTGCTTTGCCGCTCTCGCGAGGCTCCCGACTGACCCCTCGTCCGCGACTGCGTCGCATTCGAATTGCCGAATTTATTCGATGGGGTCGAGGAGCGAAGCCCGTCCTTTCCTCTCGGGCCTCTGCTCGCAGACCGATTACTTCTGCCTCTGCGATCACTCTTTCCGCCAGCAGCACGAGTATCACCGCCCGCTCCCGGCTGTGCCGGTGCGGCAGGTGTCTTGGGCTTCTTGTGATTGCAGGGGCAACTTGTCCTGCTTTGGTGCATTTCTTCCCTTGTTTCACGAACTTGCAGGTTGTCTCACCCTTCGTTCTTCCGCTTGCCAACTTATCCGTGGGCAGTCCTAGTCGATTGACTGTCGCTGCCATACCAGAGGCCCTTTTTCTGCGTGGTTCGACGACCTCATTTCCCAGTTCCATGCTGTTCCGGTTAGTCACGTGGTTGTGCGATGACAATGGGCATGTCGATGGCGGCCTTGTGTATGTGCTGTACAACTGGTCCATGTTACGTCGGGAAGGCCTCGATCAAGAGATCCGGAGGTTTGCCTGGATTCGCAGCCCGCCTGGCTGAACACATTCGTTGTGCACATCGTCCTGCCCACCATGGCGGTGACCGTCTCCGGTGAAGCTTGTTGCGTGGGGCCCGCCTGGCATGCCTACGCTTTGTTCTGGCCGTGGTACTTCCGACGGTGCATCGCGCAGTGGCCGCTGAGTCTCTGCTTATCGCAATGTGCCGCCCGCAGGCCGGCTCCCAGAGCGAGAGGGCCCTGCCCAACAGGTCCAACGCACTCCGTGGACCCCGACGCCCACGGCGGCGAGCACCCAGCTGGATTCGCAGACAAGGTCGTCGTCAAGGGCGCAGTGGATGGGGCGATGCGGTGCTCGACAAGGCGCTGGACGCACGATGTGAGCCTCATCTCGACGCCTTTCCCGGGGCTTTAGGCTCATCGTTGCCATTCAGTGGACCTGTACCGTGCACAGCCCTTGGAGGATTTCGCTACGAATGGAACGCATGGCCCACTGGGGATAGTTAAAAAGCGAAGAGTGGTGTTATGCATTGCGTACATGACCGAGCTTCGACCCGATGTACAGCTTCCGCCGTGGCCGCAGACGGACATCGCACACCTGTTGTATCATGCCTTGTCGTTATGTCCGCGTCTTCCATCGGAGGCTCGTGCTGGAAAGGCACGAACCAACATTGGGCGTTTACTGTCGCGCATGTCGTTGCCACCACCGAGGATTCCCTCACTCGGTGTACCTCCTTGTTCTGACAGTTCTTGCAAAACGGCTTTGAGGAGATCGGCACGCACAGCAATGGATTACATGAGGTGTTGGCCAGCCTGCGCGAGGATCCGCCGCCATTTTCGACAGCATGTTGGCAGGGTACCTCGGTGGTCGGATTATTTCTCGGCCAATCGCAAGTGCAGGGCATTCACACTGGATCAGAATCTACATGGCTCTTACGAAGATCTGGCGTTGCGGTCCAAGCTACCCTCGTTGAGGGCGGTGATGGGTCTTTGGGGACTCCTGAAGTGTACGCCTGCGAGGAAACGAGTCAGAGCTTTGCATGAATGTTTCTCGAAGTGGGCGTTGGCGTCTGCAATTCCAGACCATGCTTTGCGGTATGGCCGGCGCCGACTGGACAGGGAAGCTGAGTTGATACAGCAATATTCTTGCCCACCGGAGTGGGAACGCTGTAAACCTGTGAACGACCTCTCAAACAAGCTGCCCAATCTGGCCTCACCGTTGTGGCAGATAACCGTGACGCAATGAAGACTTGGCTGGTGCATCCGTTGGACCTAATGTGCTACATGGCTGCGGCCCTGCAGGCTAATCCCGACACCTGGACGCGCAGGCCCGAGATCACTTCAAAATGGTCACTTCCTGGATATGGGCAAGAGGGCTGCTTGGTCTCCCGCAGTGGCTTCGACGGGGTCGTTTTCGAACATGCCGCCCCCCGAGCGTGTTCCCTACAGTCAAGAGCAAGTGCTGGGCTGATGACGGCACGCTTGTCTGCCGGAAAGGAGGGCACAGTTGCCTGCGACGTGTGATTGACTCATCGGGCCAGCCATTTTGATCCGGTTGGTTGGCCGTGGCGCGGGCGGCCCGAGGCGTGTTGCACGTGCTTTCCTGCACGAATGTTCAACATGGCTGAGGTACGCCCCGCTCTGGACGGCATGTTAGATCGCCTGCAGGTCACGGCGTTGCATTGCGGGCGATGCGGAGCTGATCTTGGTGGCACTGTTACGGTGGTTACTGCAAATGTTGATCAAGCGTTCGAGGCCGTCTCTCCAGCCAGCGTGCTGCCTGAATGGTCCCATTTCGCGGAGCAGTTCGAAGCGAAGCACGGCCTCCCGCACATGGACGTGGCGAATGGACGAAAGTATACAACTCGCATTGGCTCCCGGGGTCATTCAAGTTCGTGGTGGAGCCTCAGTCTCGACGACATCCGACGGGCACTCGCGGCATACACGGTGTGCACCTTGAAAGTACTTGGAGCAGCTGTTTGGGAAATCAATGGGATCCCGACTGGTGGCGTCATGTCAAGCATTGCGGTCTCGATTATGTTGGGTTTCGCCGAGGTTACATGGTGAGGTGACTCTGCTGGTCATGCTTCCGCTGGCTTCCACTTCAGCGGGCACGACCCCAAACACTGTGAATTGGCTGCGATACGTGGACGACCTGCTCATCATTAATCGCGTGCTGTGCCCATGTTGCGCTTTTGAGTTCGCCTCGAAGGCGTCCCCATACAGCTGTCTGCTTGTTCTGGCCTCAAACCAAAAGCTGCAGAGGCTAATCTGCAAACCCACACATGGGTGGACGTCGAGATCACCGTTCGGGACCAGGGCATTCTGCTCAATTTCAAGAAACCCAATCCGATGTGCGGGCTTGGCCGCGGCGACCGAGGCAAATCCACTGTCTTGCCCTGGATTGGAGCAATGCCCCGGTCCTTCGGCCAATAACGGGGCACCTTCCTCAGCATCCTGGCCATGGGCCGGGCCCTCAAGGTTGGGGACGAGCTCATCACGATCTGGTTTTTGGAGGCAGTCTTGGAATTCCACCTCTCGGGGTACCCACCCGATCTGCTTCGCGCCCTCGTGCACTCCCCTCCCGCCTCGCCCCCAGCCCAAGCCGCTTGTCATGTCGTGCGGCTGTGGCTTCACATGCGGGGCTCGCGGTGAGAGGTGCACCGATCTTCGAGAGATGCCTCTCTTTCCCCTCCCCTCCTCTCCCTCTCTCGTGCATCCTGCCCTGTCCATCGCCATTTCATGTCCTAGTTTTGATTCGGAGCCTTTTATGTCTTCGCTGGAACAGGCAAACCCCTTGGACGCTCATGGGCTCGCAGGTTGTCCCAGTACCAGCGACGACAGACTGCGAAAGGCTTGCAGCATCTCCTTGATTGCATGTTGTACATATATATGTATGCAGTCACATATATACATACATACATACATACATACATACATACATACATACATACATACATACATACATACATACATACATACATACATACATACATACATACATGCATCCATACATGCATACATACATACATACATACATACATACATACACACATACATACACACACACACATACATACATACATACATACATACATACGTACATACATACATACACACATACACACATGCATACACAAATACACAGTTTCATACATACATACATACATACATACATACATACATACATACATGCATGCATGCATGCATGCATACATTCATGCATGCATACACACACACACACACATACATACATACATACATGCATGCATGCATACATGCATGCATGCATGCATGCATACATACGTACATACAGACATACACACACATATATATATGGCTCTAAGGCGCCCGACTTGCACCTTATGCCTGGAAGACAACCAGCATGTGACCCTGCCTGAGCATGATGAAAGCTTGGAACCAGGATCTGGAAATTCACTGTATCGGCTGGCATGCATCCATCACGCCCGCAAGCTGCAAGAAACGAAAACCAAGCGAACTGTTGCGAACCCTCCCCTTCCTGTTCCTCCTCCTCCTCCTCCTCGTCCTCCTCCTCTTCCTCCTCCTCTTGCTTCGGCCGTACATCAAGCGTCCAGGACCCCACTCCACGGTGGCGGGGCTGTCCTGCGGGTTCATCATCATCGCCTGCAAAGCGGTGAGAGGGCGGGTTTCTGAATTTCGTCCTCCTCCGCACACACGCACGCACGCACGCACGCACGCACGCACGCACACACACACACACACACAAACACACACACAAACACACACACACACACACACTGTTCCTCGGACGCGATAGTGGGTCACAAACAATGGTGGAAAAAAACCAGCACGGACACGGCCAAAACGATCACTCTACCTTTGTGGACACCCGCAGGACACAGAACTCACCACCGAGATGAACGACGAGGCGGAGTGGAGTTGAGCGGCGGCGCGCGCGCTGCAGGGCCCTCAGGCGAGATCACTTTGGATCCCGCGCGCGCGCCCGCACCAAGCATGCCATCCTCGCGTGGATGGCGTGGAGGTGATGCGCCGCCAAACGCTGGACCTCCCAGGCGGGGATGCAAAACGGGGCCGCGAGAAGAGGAACATCACCATCGGCGCGTGCATGGCAGGGAGGCGCAACGCTACCCAACGCAACAAGGCCTTGCAGGTCCTCTGCGGGTAATACGCGGCGCAGAACCAGGAAAGGGAGAAATGCCCGAGGAAGACCAGCAAAGAGCTCAGAGAAAAAAAAAAAATGGGCGGAGGGGCCCGCTGCGGAGAAGTCGGGACGTAGCCCAGGGCGAGCGCCGCGTGGATGACAACGCTGGTTCGCCACCCAGCGGACTGCCCGCCAGGCGGCAACGCAAAAGGGGAAGAGAAGCGGGGCCACCAAAATTAAGGGAAGGGCCAGAGGCTGGGCCAGTTAACGGCGAGGAAGCCACCCAGGCCGGGAGCGGGGGCGGGGGGCGGGGCGCATGCGCGAAGCAGCGCCGCTTCCCCCTCGGGGCAGCGCAGGGGCAGCGCCACGGCCAGCAGGGGGGACAGCCTGGACAACTTCCAGAGGCAGGGAGCGGATGAACAGGCTGAGCCGATGGACGGGAACGCGCCAGGGGCGGGCCCCGCCCCGCGGCGGAAAACCACCCCGCGGCGGGGGGGCCGCGGCCGCAAGGACCCTGAGGTTGCCTCTCGACGCAGCAGGGCGAAGGCGGCGGCGGGGCAAGGGCGGCCCGGCGCCGATAGGGAGCCGGGAGCCAGAGCGGCCAGGAAAAGGGGGGACGGCAACGGATGAGGCGCCCCCCTTTGTCCGCGGCCCCCCCGGCCCTGCAGGGCGCCCGGGGGCAGCCCCCCCGGAGTCGCGGACGCCGCGCGGCTCTGGGGGCGAGGAACGCCACCCAGAGGAGGGCGCGCGGCCGCAGGCTCCTTCGCGACCGCGCCGGCGGTCGGCTGGAAGGGCGGCGCGGGCTTGGCAGGGACCGCCAGCGCTCGCTCGCGCTGGCCGCCGCGGCAGCCCTGGAGCGGGGGCGCAGTGCGGGCGTTGGGGCGCGCGAGCGGGCTGGGGTTTGAAGCGGCGGCCGTCCGCCGACGAACCAGCATGGCGTCGTCGGGCGAGGCGCCCCCGGACACTCCGCGGCGCGCAGGCGTAGCCCTGCGAGAACTGACGGCGCCGGTGGCGTCGGGGAAAGCGCGCGACATTGGCGAGTTGGCCCGCGCCGCGCACGGCCTAGGCGGGGGGAGGCGATTGCGCGCGGGGCCCGGGCGGGGCGGGGAGGCAGGGGTGCATTCGGGGGCAGCGGCGCCCTGGTTGCTTGCGATGACAGGAGGGGCGCTTTGCCCCGCCCCTTGAGGGGGCCTTCCACGACGTCGCGCCACTGCTCGTCGCTCATCTGACGCCAGTCCCAGAAGCGCCACAACCCAACCCGTCGACCAGGGCCTGAAAGAGGCCCTTGGGGGCGGCCTGAAGAATGCCTCCCAAATGAAGTCGGCGCGGGGGCGGGCGGCCCCAGAGCGCGCCCGCGGGGCTGCGCAGCGGCGGCGGGGGCGCGGGAGGCCCGCGCGCCTTGGCGCGCGACTTGCGACCGAAGGCGCGGCCGAGACAGGTCACCAGCTGCTCGTTGGAGCGGCGCACAGGGTCGCCTTGCGCGACGCCCATCTGGCGGCGGAACTTGCGCAAGAACCTAGCTTGGCGGAACCAGAGCTGCACGCGCGCGCGGACAACTGATTTCCTATCGCGCAGCGCGAGGTTGCAGATGGGAATTTGCGCAAGGCGCGCAGAAGCCCCCTCTGGCGGAGGGGCGGCGGCGCCATCGCCGCTGCGGCCCCCTGCAACGCTCGCGGGGCGGCCGCTTCGCTGGGGGCTCGAGCCGGCGTTGTCCGATGCGCCATACGCGCTGGCAGGACATGGGGAGCTGGGCCGCCGGGGCATGCGGCGGCGACCGGCCAGCCCCCTCGCCCGCAGCGTCGGGGACGGGCGCCGCCAGACTGCCCGAGAAAGAGCCGCCCTCAAACTGGCCCCCGCCGCCCGCGGAGCTGCGAGCACTGGCCTCCGGCAACGACGCAGCCGCGGGCACCCATGGGGGGCGCGGCCGACGCCCGCGAAGCGCCGCAGGAAACGCGGGAGAAAGCGCGGGGTCGACTGCGAGGGCGCCCCCAGACTGGGGGG